TAGGGCTCACTTGGTCCGGAAGTCATCAGCAGCCAGGCGGGCATTGTCGATCTGCAGCAGGATGTTAGCATTGTCCACAGTAGCTGTGAGGATCTGGGGAGGTGGGAGGGTCAGGTCATTGGGTGGGGGTAGCTCAGTGCAGACCAGGACTCTGAGATGGGTCTTCCTGCCTGGGGGCCAGATGTGGCTGCCTTCTCCAGGAAGGCTCCCTTCCTGCTCAGTCTTTCCCTTTACCCCCGTGGCTGTTGGCAGAGGCAGGACCGGCAGAAGTCTGATGTGCTGAAACTTATTTCCTCTCCTACCCTACCCACAGACCCCATGCCAGGCTCTGCCTTGAACCAGAGCAGGCAGCCAGCTGGGAGGGCTTGGACTGGGAATTCAAGAAAGCCAAAGGAGAATGGGAGGTCGCCTTCATGGCAGAAGCTGTCCCAGAATCCCAAAGAGAGGAGGGGATGTGGGCAACACCCTCATTTTACAGTTGAGGATATGATGTTCCAGAGAAGGTCTTCAGGAAGGAAGGCTAAAGAAGCCCTCACCGAAGAGGTCCCACCTCAGAAGTTGAGGCCCTGTCAAGCCTCGCCCCATGTGCACAGGGCAGCCCTGCCCACAGAGGTGTGCTAAGCCCCACTCTTGAAAGGGCAGCAGGAGGGATAGAGAAGCCAGAAAAATCCCCACATAAGGCACACAAGAGGCCTTCCTGATGTCCCGCCTCCTCTCTCTGTCTCCTTCTCCTAGTAGGTGCCATTAGGAGCTCACTAGACCCCTTAGCCCACCATCACCCAAAATCCCCTTCTTCCTCCAAAGGAGAGAGAGATGTTCGCTTGTCTGGCCCCATGAGCCCAGCCCTCCACATGCAGCCACTCCTCTTATCCTACAACCGTAGGAGGTAGCAGCAAAAAGATCTATGCAAGGAAGCTGAGGCTCAAGAAAGCAACATGAGGCCTGCTTGTCCCCAACCCAGCCTGCTGGCCTCCCATAAAGCGGAGCATGAGCCACATAGTGGCCCCAAGGCGGGCTTCCAGAGGCCAAGCCAGAGCCAACCTGTCCTTGGCTCCCTGAGACCCAGTGGAAGCCCCGAGGGTAGACTCCAGGCCTTGGCCACAGGCAGAAGATGGGGCAGAGAAGTCATGCCCCCCACAGGCCTCTTCCCACCAGCAGGCTATACCTTGTTCCTCAGGTCGTCGATGGTCTGGTAGTAGGAACTGTAGTCGCGGACAGGCCCTGGGGCCTGCCTCTGGTACCAGTCACGGATCTTCACTTCCAGCTCAGTGTTGGCCTCCTCCAGGGCACGGACCTTGTCCAGGTAGGAGGCCAGGCGGTCATTGAGGTTCTGCATGGTAGCCTTCTCGTCTCCGGCCAGCAACCCATCAACAGCCCCAAAGCTGCCGCCGAAGGCCCCACCAGAGCCTAAGCTGAAGCAGCTGGAGTAGCTGCTGCCCCCAAGGATGCCGCCCAGGCCGCTGGCAGCCCCCAGCCTGCATGAGCCAGCTCCCAGGCTGCCGGAGAGCCGGCAGGAGGTGCGGGATGAGCCACCCCCCAGGCCAGAGCCCCTGATGGAGCTGGAGGAACTGAACTGGCGGATGGTGGTGGTCATGGTGGCGGCAGCAGGCGGCAGGCAAGCACAGTGTAAGAGAACTCTGAAGGAGGAAAGCCCTGGGTGCAGCTGCCAGGGCTCGCCTGCCTCCTTTATAGGCCGGCAACAAGTGGGCGTAGAGATTACAGCAGGCTCACTCCTCTGTTTCCATTTCCCTGGGCTTTCATCACTCCTGGCCCTCGGCCAGCTCCCAGGTGACTGTGGGCCCCCTCCCCTCCCACTGCCAGGGCTTTGCCTCATTTCTCTGAACCCCCATGCTGGGCGTCTGCATGTGCATGTGTGTGTCTCTGGTCTCAGGCCTGTCACCTGTGATTCAGGCAGGCCCTCCAGCTATGCTTTCCTATGACCTAATACGGAGAAAAGGAGAGGCAGTGTGCCACCGTCACCAGGCCCTCCCAGGCAGCTGCCACCCCAGCCCATCTGCCTGGACCCTGTGAATGGTGGGGAAACCAGCTGGGGAACAAAGCAGCCGCTGGCCTGAGGTTGCTCTCCTTCACCCACACCACACCACACAGGGTCCTGGCCAGGGTCTGGGTGCTGGGGAAACAGCGAGGACAAAGACCCCACCCCACCTTGGAAGCTGGACCTAAGCCCACTGGGCTCACCACACAACCCAGGAACTTCGTCAGCTCTCAGATCACCACCCATTTGCAGATAAGGACAGTGCCCCTCTGCCCACCTAACTAGCAGACAGTGCCACAGCACCCATACCCCTCCCCTGGGGCCCCAAGCACATGGGCTCCTGCCCCTGCAGAGCCCTGACCCCAGGGAAGCACTCCAGGGCCTCCAAGTCCATCTGGCCAGTCTCCTGACCCTGCCCACATCCTTGGGAGCCCCTGGTGCCCCAGCCCTCTCTTCTGACCTTTCCCCACCTCCCTCTTACAGGTCGGGGTCCTGAACCAGGGTGGGTAAAGAGGAGCTTAGCAGTAAGATGCGGAAATGGCAGATTGGAGGGAGAGTCCTGATAAAGGGGAATGGGAAGAATGGGGAGGGGCGCAGCCCCGCCACCCTCCTTACCCCTCCTGTACCCCAAGAGGCCTCAGAAGGAGAAGAGCATACACCTCTGATCCCAGCCAGCTGGAAACCAAGAAAAGGGTTCTTCTTGAGACCCCCAGGAAGCACCCTCTCCCACAGACTCCCCTCTAGTCCCTAGCCCAGTCTCTTAAATGGGACCCCTCAGGATGGGCCTTGTGCCACCCACAGCCCCTCCCTGCCCTGCCCAGCACCACAAGCCAGCCCTGGGTCCCAGGGTCCTGGCAGGCCCTCTGGGCGGAATGTGGTCGTGTCTCAGACTGCCAGTGACTTCCACTTCCCAGACAGGCCCAGACAGCCCCCACCAGCAGCTGAGAGAGTCTCCAATAACCCAGCAGCTGCCAAGCCACCAAAGCAAACAGGACGCCCCCCACGCTCACGTGCACAGCAGCCACCCCACCCCACACACACCCCTGAGCTGGGCAGAGCCAGTCAGGCTTCCTGGGCTGGCTATGCCACTGCCACCCCCTCTCACCCATCAATGCCTTGGGAAAGCCCCCTGCCCAGCCCCTTTCCCTCTGATCTTGAATACAGACCTGCCCCAGGCTGAGTCAGGGAGTTCTCTGTAACAGGTGTGGTTCTGCAGCAAGTCTATGGGGCCCACCCAGGAACCAGCCACAGTCAGTGGGGACCCAGGAGCTGACTTGCAGAAACTTTCCCAGCCTCATCCCTCTGCCCTCAATCCCCCAGCCTCCTTCTCTTTTGTGCCCCCATGAGGCCCCATCTGGATAGGTGGGCAGAGTGCATTGACCAGCCAGAAGGGCCACCCAAACACTCGACAGACTCGCCTCCCCTAGCCCCTCAGCCGGCTTGGGCCCAAGCCAGTGACCAGACTACGCTGCGGGAGGTATTGAACTCAGGAAGAGCTTTAATAGCAGTCGCTGCAGCAAACCGGGGATGCCCCCTCAGTGAGGGGCTGCGGGAAGCAGATACAGAGAGGCAACAGCTCTTGGGTGGTAGCCCAGACAGGCACGTGGGGCGCAGCAGCAGCGGTGTGCCGGGAGCTGGAGGCGGTGGCCGCCCCGTGACCCTCGAGACCGGGCTATCGCAGATGGAAAGGCACCTCAGTGGGTGGAGCGGTGGACCTGCTCCCGGGAGGAGACCACCTTGCCATCCTGGACTTCCTCCATGATGGTGCGCACTTGGCGGCTGGTCACGGTGGCTGCAGGCAGCGGAGAGGGCACAGGGTGCCTCAGGCTGGAGCCCCTCCCACAGGCTCCCCTACAGAAGGGTCTTCATCTCCTCCCCAGTCCCTCTGGGCGGGACAGGACAGGCTCTTACCTTCCCGGGTAGGCTGTGAGACCAGGGAAGAGGAGTACTGGGTGGCCAGGCTGCAGGGAGGGAGAGGGGAAACCTGTCAGCCCAGGGGTGCCAACCAGGAGCCCGGCCCCCTGAAAGGAAGAACAGCTGGGGTGACAGGGGGTGGGGGGTGGGGGAAAGATGGGTCCCAACAAAGTGGAGAGAAATCCCAGTGGGAAGTGCATGAAAAACAATGGTAACCATAAGGCTCAAAGGGCACAGGCCCAGTGGGCAGGAGTAAAGGGACACCCCAACACAAGGCCCAGAGGCACTTTGTGGATAAGCAGGGATTTACAAGGAGAAGCTGAGCAAGCGCTTTCTCATATCCAAAGGGCCAAACAAATAGACTCAATTAAAGCAGGAGAGACTGTGGTTAGACTATGGATGGACTTTGCCAGCATCAGAGAGCAAAAAGCTGGAGACTCCAGGACATTTTCAGCCCCTTTACACTAGGGCCCCAGTCCAAACCAGATCCACCCTGCTCCTTAACCCATCCCAGGTAGTGGCGTCACCAGCCGCACAAGTCATCAGAACCGGAAACCCTGGGTCATCGTTATCCACTCCTTCATGTGTTCACTCAATATTTATTGAGTCCTGCCTGCAATCAACACCCGCCCCCATGTTCAAGTGCCCAGAGATGCAGTTTTTAACCATAAAATACCCTCTTCAAGCACCCCCTTCTGTTCCCTGCCCTCCTCCTCACCTAACAGCAGGACTTCTCTGGCCTGAATCCCTGCTCCTGTCTTCCAACACGCCTCCCTGACCCCACCCAGGACCCTCTGATGCATTTCTCCCTCTGCAGCCAGAGTGCATGCTGTGAGGCATCTTGATGATCATGCTCTTCTTCTGCACAAAATCCCTCCATAGCTCCCCATTGCCAGATGCCAGATCCAGCCTGGATGCTTTAGTGTGGCCATCAGAGCTCTACAGAACCAGACCCCAGCCACTGTTCTGTACCACCTCCTGCAAACCTCCACACCTCCTCCTGGCCTTTTCCAGTGCAGGCCCCTCAGCTCAAACGTCCCTCCTGGGTGAAGTGGCCCCAGCCCACCCAAGTATCTGCCTGGACCCTCTCTCACTGGGCGTCCTCGCCCTCCAGCAGGCGGCGGTAGGTGGCGATCTCCTGCTCCAGCCGCGTCTTCACGTCCAGCAGCACCTGGTACTCATGGTTCTGGCGCTCCATATCGCAGCGCAGCTCACACAGCTGCTGCTCGATGCTGCTGATGAGCCCCTGCAGCTGGGCCAGCTGCGCCCCATAGCGCGCCTCAGTCTCTGCCAGGCTGCCCTCCAGTGATGATTTCTATGGGCCAAGGTATAGGTAGCTGGGTGACCAAGCCAGGCCCCTTCTCCACAGCAGAGCCCCCAGGAGGGACCCCAAACTGGTGAGGAGCTGTGGGAGCTGCCAGCACACTGGGGCAGTAAGTAGGACAGAGAGGGGCCCGTGTCACTGAGTGTGAGGTGACAGCCTGGGTGGGGAATCTCTCTGAGTGGGGGTCTAGGAGGCTGGGCCTGCCCTGGGGTGAGGTGTACAAGGCAGGGAGGGGTCACAGGCCCTACCATGCTGAGCTGGGACTGCAGCTCAATCTCCAGGTTCTGCACGGAGCGGCGGAGCTCCGTGATCTCGGTCCTGCTGCTCTGCAGGGCCTCGGTGTTAGTGGCCACCTCCCTGTTCAGCTCCTCCGTCTGGAAGACAGGGGGCCATGGTGCCTTGGGGAGGCTTGTGCAGGTAGGACAGAGAACAGCGGCTGTCCCTGAGCCCTGACCTCCCGGACCTGCTCCCCCAGCTTCTTCCTGGCTTCTGTGGGCCTTCTGTGCCCACTGGAACTTAGCCAAACTCACCTCATTTTGTGGCCATTTGCACCCATTGCTCCTAGCAGCTGGAAGCACCTCTCACAGACGGGCCCTAGGTTTCACTCTTTATCTGCCTGTCACCGTCCAGGGGACTGTAGCCACTCAGTATGTGTCCTAAGGGGCTGAGTTGTGCATCTAAATGTACACAGACCTACCAAAGCCTGTGCTGGAAGAAGCCCTAGTCGGGGGTGAGGAGGCCTGAACTATTCCCCAGGCCACAGGGAAGGGCTGTGGGGAGCTCAAGGCCTCTCTGAGTGTCACGCTCAGCAGCTAACCGTGAGGGGTTGGTTGGTCCAGCTGGTTTCCAAAGGTCCTTCCAGCTGGGACAGTCTGAGGATCCAGTCTCCCAGCCGGTACTCAGCACCCAGCATGTGTACGCACATGTGTGCACACCTGCACATGCACAGCCACCCACCTTGCTGAAGAACCAGTCCTCAGCATCCTTGCGATTCTTCTCGGCCATCTTCTCGTACTGGTCGCGCATCTCGTTCAGGATACGGCTCAGGTCCACACCGGGGGCTGCGTCCATCTCCACGCTGACATCCCCACCCACCTGGCCTCGCAGTGCATTCATCTCCTGAGCAGGGAGGAGAGCAGGAGCTCACCTGGGCCTTCCTGGGGAGATACCCTGGGGCCTGGCTTCTGTGCCTCAGGGAGATGGGTACAGATGACAGACAGGCACAGAACAGCCAACAGCTCCTCACCCAAAGGTGGAAGCAGATGTCCTCGTGTCTCAAACATGCAGGGCTGTGGGTCTCCACGCTCTCCCCCAGCACACACTCAGGGGGAAGGACACTGCCCACTTCCAGTGTGTGCTGGGGCTAGACGGATGGCAGCGTCCCATCAGGGGGAGCATGAGGCAGGACAGCCTCACTCACCGCCGTGACCCCCCGCCTCGTTCCCCAGCGCCAACCCAGAGCAGGGGCATGCGGAAAGCAGCCCATGTCCATATCAGCAGAGCCAGACCTCACTGGGAAATATTAATCTGCTGGGGGCCCGTGATCCCTATAACCACCCTCAAAGCCAAGTGGAGACATTTTCTGGGCTCCTGCTTGGGGCTTACATTCCCCCAGCTCAGGCCAGACCAGAGGAAGGCACAAGTCCCCTGCAGGGTCTTGGATCCCCATCCTTGGGTTGAATAATGCAAGAGAGATGGCAAGTGATGGAGTCAGACCTGGGCGTGCGTATGGTCAGACAGACCTGAGGGAGGACCCCTGTGCAGCCTTGGATAAATCCTTAACCTCTCTGAGCCCCACTTCCTTCTGTGCTAAAGGGAGAAAAGGGTGCCCTTCTCCCAGTGCTGCTATCAGTACCAACTGAGATCATTGCTGTGAATCACCATGTGCTGGGCAGATGCTAGTTGTTATGACTATCCCTATCAGAATTAATTATAATAATTAGCACACATGCTCTGAGACTGATTTGCTCGTTAGATAGTTAACTGCCACCTCACAGTAGGCGATGCCTCGAGGGACAAGGGTAGCGTCTTTGAAGAGAGAGGGCCCTCCGGGCCTCACCCAGAGCTCTCCGAGCTCTCCCAGGCTCAGGACCAGGAGCCCACCAGAAATGGGAAATGGATCAAGAGCACGGCCCCAGCCCAGACGATTCAGAGGCCCCAGCCATGCTTGTTCCCGGCGAGTTTCTCCTACATCCCAAACCGGCCTTACCTCCTCATGGTTCTTCTTCATGTAGGCCAGCTCCTCCTTGAGGTTCTCAATCTGCATCTCCAGGTCGGCTCTGGCCAGGGTCAGCTCGTCCAGCACCCTGCGCAGGCCATTGGTGTCAGCTTCCACGCTCATGCGCAGGTTCAGCTCCGTCTCGTATCTGGGAGAGTCGGAGATGTGAGCCATGGAGTGCCCTGGGGACACCCCACTGTACAACAGAGTGTCCTCTGTGATCCACCACCAGGCCCCTGGGGCAGACCCCGGACTCACTTGGTGCGGAAGTCATCAGCTGCCAGGCGCGCGTTATCAATCTGCAGCACCAAGCTGGCATTGTCAATGGTGGCCGCCAGGATCTGGGGGACATGGTGAGCTTAGTGGGCAAGCACCCGTGGCAGTCCCGGGGAGGCCCTGCAACCCTTCCTTCAGCCCTTTGGAGAGTGGGCCAGAGTGAGGGATGAGGGTCCCCATGGTCCCCTCCTCTGAGCACCCTGCAGAGGGCTCTCCGACTGGCAGGAGCATGATACCCAGGCACAGGTCACCCTGATGCCTGGGGAGAGATCCATATACACCCCTCCCCCACCACAGGATCACTTCCCAAGCTGCCTGGACCTCTCTTCCCCAAGTAAATTCACCTGTAGGTGCAGTAGCCACCTCCTCCAGGAAGCCCACCTCGATTCCCCATCTGGGTCCCTCCTCCCTGTCATACCTCCTCTTTGCCCATCTTCCTGCACCATCATCCAAGTGTGATTTTTTTCCACAGCTTTTTTGGTTATTACACAAGTCCCCTGGACTCTGAGCCCCAGGGGGACAAAGACATGTCTCTGTCATTCTCTTGGGAATCCCAAGCCCTGGGCACAGTGCCTACCCAGAATGGACCCCTGGGAAACATTACTTTAATTAAGCAATCACTTAATTTAAAAGGTTATGAATGACCCCACCTCAAACCCAACGCAGTTTACTTTTCTGACAGGTCATCCGGGAGGTTTGAATGACAACAGGGGAGGGAGGAGCCCTGGAGGGAGCAGAGGGCTGCTTATCATCACTGCTGCAGTTGCTGCTGCTGCTACTGTGACATATGCCCCAGGGGCTCCAGTCAGGGGCCCTGGGGGTGGGAGGGGAGCAGAGACAGGTCCTGAGGGAGGCAGCTGGTGAGCAGGTAGGATTTGGGGCTGTGTAAGGCTGGGAGCTGAGGTGTAGAAGAGGTAGGAGGGGCAGCACCAGCAGGACCACCCTGGGCTGCAGAGCCCACTGAAGGACCCAAGTTCTGCAAAGTGACCCTGGGTCAGGCCCTGCGCCCAGACAGCCCGGTGGCCAGTTTGTCTGCCCGGGGCCTAGGTGGGCTCCTCTGTAGCCTGTAGACTTACCCCAACCCACCTCGCTGCTGAAGAGGCTATGGCCCAGCTCAGGAGGCTGAGACGGTGGAAACCCCTGAGGGGCACAGTGACTCAGAGGGCTGCAGGGGGTAGTGTGAGGAGCCAGCTGACCCACGCTGACTCACTAGGGCACCCCCGGCCTCCCTGCCACCCAGACCAAGCCCGGTATCTGATCTGGCACTGCCAGAGCTCTGCTTTCAGGGGGCAATGGCAGGGATTCCCTTCCTGATGGAGATCCCGGGCAGGAGCAGGCAAAGCCCCTCACAGGGCAGCGCCAGGCCTGGTTCTCCACCAGGAGACTGAGCAGGCCTAACTTTGTGTATGTGTGTGGTCTCCTCCATCAAAGTTAGGGAAATCCCTTCCCTTGGCAGCTTCCAGTCTGAATAGGAAGACACAGAGTCTTCCCTCACTCCTCCCCAGAAATCTACTAGGAGATACAGCACCCCCATCCACAGGACCCCCAGAGGGAACATGTAGGAGAAAGTGTGGAGGGCCCACACTGAGAGCAGCTGTGATAACATGCCAGACACAACGTCAAATCAGCACAATGAACAGGGCATAGACTGAACCTAAAAGTAATCAAGAGACCCCAGGATTTGGGAATCAAAAGTAAGTGCCATCCATTTAGGAGGACTGCCTGGAGGAGGTGAGGCAGACAGAGGGGCAGGCCCAGCCTCATCTCCCAGCAAGCATACCAAACTCTCCCATATCTACAACTTCACCCATCCTGTTCTCTATACCTGGAATGCCATCTGCTGCCTTCTAGGTTCTGAAGCCTTCCCTCCCACTCCACCATCACACATGACAAATACACTCCCCACAGAAAAGGGGGAATTCCAAACCACCTCCCCACATGGGATGTCTTCCAGGCCTGGGACCAGTGACCGGCACAGGGCTGGACTCCAGAGAAAGTCAGAGTGTGAATGAATGAACGAATGAGCGATTGAGACTTAGGATGGAGGAGAAAGGTTCTCAAAGGTCCAAAGTTGGAATGAAGTGAGTCAGAAGTAGTTACTAAGGACAGAGAGCAAAGGGCAGGGAGCTGCTGGTCTACCTACCTTATTCCTCAGATCCTCAATGGTCTTGAAATAGGCGCTGTAGTCACGGGCGGGCCCGGGGCCCTGCTTCTTGTACCAGTCATGGATCTTCACCTCCAAGTCCGCGTTGGCCTCCTCCAGGGCACGCACCTTGTCCAGGTAGGAGGCCAGGCGGTCGTTGAGGTTCTGCATGGTCTCCTTCTCGCTGCCCCCTAGCAGGGCGTCTGCCACGCCAAAGCTGGAGCCAAAGCCCCCGCCCAGGTTGCAGGTGTAGCCCCCACCATAGCCACCCCCCAAGCCTGCTGTGAAGCGGGATGAGGTAACTGACATGTTACCACAGCTGCCAACTCCCAGAAGGCTGGGGGCTCGGCAGGCGCCCCCGACACGGACTGAGGACACCCGAGAGAGACTCCCGCCAGGCATACACAGGCCTTTGACAGAGCCAGATGTTGAGAACTGGCGGATGCTGGTGGTGGTGGCAGCCATGGTGTCCACAAGTCAGGAGCAGGGTCTGGTCTGGACGGAGACCCCAGGCATCCTTTTATAGCCAGGCGAGAGCGGGGCTGGGCCCCTGGCTCTTGAAGTCAGAGCCAAAAGCCCAGCCATGTAATTTGCTTCTGTACCAGCCGCCCAGGGCCTGCGGCTCTGGCTGGACATGCTGAGTGCATCCCCTGGACCCCTCCCCTGCCCGAGCCTGGCCTGGGCAGGTGGCCTCTGTTTGTTCAGAAACAAAGGTGGTGTTGGAGCCACAGCCCCGGGGTAGGGTGAACCTCCATCCTCAGCCGCAATTAGGCTGCTGAGCTCACTGGGGGGAGTCTGGAGAGAACCCAGTCCTGGAACAAGGCTCCACAGGCCTGGAGCCCTAAGGTTGATCTGGCCCCCCACCCAGCATTTCTGGGCCCCAGGGAAAGGGTGGAGAGACACAGGGTGACACCCTCCCCAGGTACAATGTGGCCCTGAGGGAGCCCCCAGGCCAACAAGAAGACCCTGTCTACAAGAGGGAACAGAGCCCCTGGCCTGGGGGACCCCATCATGGCTGCGGACCTGAGGGAGTTTGGGATCCAAGCCTTACAGGAAGTCAACTCACAAGCCTCAGTTTCCTCATTTATAAAGTGAGGGTCATTCCTGCCTCCCATGGTCCTTGAGGGAACCCAGAGAGATAAGGACATCAATAGAGTGGAGCTGGAGTCGGGAGTCTGAGGCCAGAGGGCGAGGGTGGCCATTCCTGCTCAGCCACAGCAGCTGAGGGGAGCCACTGCCAAGAGGCCCCCAGAGCAGGCTCAGAAAAAGGAGGAGGATCAAGATCTGTGCAGCAGGGTGCCCCTCGGTCTGCTGCGCCCTGGGGAGGGACCGACCCTGCAAGGAGCAGTGTGCATCCTGGCAGCTGGCACCCTCCCGCCACCCAACAAGGAGATTACCGGCCTAATCTCCATGGCGCTAATGATTTCGGCGCTGCCAGAACACTGGCGTCTGCACCAGGCCTGTCTGCCTAGGTGCTTCTGGGGGTGGCCAGGGCCCAAGGAAGGCAAGGGAGGCACCAGCCTGGCTCCCGAGGGCAAGCACACAGGTGGCCTGGGCTCTCAGCCCACACAGGACCGGGAGGGAGTCATGTTTTCCGTGCAGCCGGAGCTCCTGTGCTGAGGCTAGGCTGCTGGAAGGACTTCCTGCTTAGAAAGTGGGTGGCCTCCCCAGCAAACATGTCCCCTGGCTAGGAGAGTAGGGATAGCACCAGCTGTCTAGAAGAGAGGGGATGAACCCCAACACCCCAACCTTATCTGTTCCCACATGCCTGCGAAGTTTGGGGGTTCCCAGGGTTGCTGGTTGGGGGACTCATAGCCAAGGCTAGGGAGCAAGGCCAGAACACCAGGGCTCTTTCATGAGGTTGGACATCAAAGAGGACTTCCAGGCAATCCAGGAGAGCCTCAGGGAAGGAATGGAACCCATAGACCCAGGGTCACCTGAGTGGGCCAGAGGCAGGCCCTGTGCTAGACAGTCACACTGTCGGTAAAGGTCTTTCCCGTCCCTGCTGGAGCCTCACTCCCAGGACCCCCTTCCCCCCAGGAGCTGGTTCACCTCCTCCCTCCAGGCAGACCTCACTCGGCTCACACAAGGCAGTAGCTTCCAGCACTGGATCTGGAGCAGAGGCCAGGCCACGGGGCACTACCCACCCTTCAGTGTCTAGCCCTAGGCCCCACAACCTAGCCCTCACCCCACCTCCAGAGCCCCCAGACCTCAGTCCTGAGGCCTTCCTTCCTCCCTCCACGATCACCAAGGCCGCGGCCACCCACCTGCCTACCTCAGGCTCCTTCACCACCGACGTCAGGCTGAGTGCTAAGGCCTGGGCCCCAGTTTCCCCATACCAGTGGCTCCCAGGCTCTTGGTCTCTGCTCTTTGGGGACTCGACCCTAGGGCACCCCAACCCAGAAAGACTGCCAATGCTGAGGGACAGGCCCAGCTTAGCCCCTCTTCCCAGGTGACAGGGAGGAGTTAGACCGTAGGAAGACCTCGCTGGCCCTCAGAGTGTGTGGCCAGCCCTGCCCTAAGAAGACCTGCACAAGCCTCTCACCCAGCTCAGGGACAGCCTCTGCCAGATCTTCCCAAAAATGCTGTGAGGAAACTGAGGCACAAGGCGCTTGAACAACAGGCAGGTGGCCGGGGCCACCAAGCACCACAGGGCTGGGCCTGGAGCCAGGTCCCAGCTGCTCCCACTCTCCCTGCCAGGGGAGTACGGCCTGGCAAGAGCCAGCCAGAAGGCCGCACAGTGGTCCTCTCAGCCACGACTCCTCCTGCCTGGGCCTGTCCTCCACCTCCAGCAGGGAGAGGTCCCTGGCAGCCAGAGGGGCAGCGACCAGCCCACAGCCCCCGCAGTCGTCAGCAGCTTGGCCCACCTGGAGGAAGAGACCAGCCCCAGAGGCTTCTGGAAGTCAAGCACAGTGAGAGAGGGACAACTCCCAGCATTCACCAGTGCTTTCAAGCCAGCCCCAGGTGTGAGCAATCCCACAGGCCCTGGGTCTCCTCTCCCAAGGTTGCTGAAAAGCCAGCTTGCCCACAGGTGGAATAGGGACAGACCCTGCTCATCTGAGCAGGACCAGGGTGTCGGGAGAAGGTCCCTGGGACTATACCCACAATGATGATGTTGATGGAAGTCACAGGGTATAGTGACCTGGGGCCCAGTATGGTTGATGTTCAATAGATGCATATTGATGCTAACAAAGATCATGCTATGTCTGCCTAGCTTGGCTCCTACAGGCCCCCCAAGCACTACCTGTCACCTCCTAAGAGAGTGGCCACCCACCCAGAACCCAGGACACAGCTTATATGTAGCAAGTGCTTTTTAAGTGCATGTTGACTTGTTCAGAGCATGGATCCTGTACCCTGCCTAGGTGGAAGCAGGGGCCCAGGAAGGGAATACATGGCCACCTGCCCTCCCTCACAAGGAAAAGGATCCATATCAGGAGAGTTCAAGGAAGTGAGAGGCCAGGAGTCCAGGAGTAGGACCCCAGTCATGACCTTGGCATGGCTGATGAGGACAGGATTTTCAAATCCTTCAGGGGTCCCAAAGGCCTTCACTCACCCAGCCCCTGCCACTAGGGTACCTGTCTGTTCCTTTACATTCACCCCACAGACACTGAGCCCCCTCACCTCTCACCTGAGGCACCTTGCTCAGGATGAACTACACAAGGCCACCAAGGGCACCACAGGTTCCCCTGCCCCTCTCCTCCCCTTAGAACGTCACCCATGCCTGGCCAGGGGCCCCCTGCAGAAGGGTACCTCGCCCAGCCAGGCCTGCCCACAGGGGGAATCCCCTTCTTCCTCAATTCTGCTTCCTGGGCCTCTGTCCTAGGCCCAGGCCACCCCACCCAGATCCACCCACCAAAGGTTTGTGTCTGACTCCAAAGCAGGCCCCACCCTCTGCCCCCTGGGGCTGTGGGAGATGAGGAACATTCCTGGCTCTCCCAGGAACCTCCTTCCCAGTTAGAAGCATCAGGGGCCAGGGCCCCCCAAACCCCCAGTGCCCCGGCAAACACCAGGCATCTCGGGGTGCTCCCTCCCCAGGGACACACAGACTCAGCCACCGCCCTCTCACTGGTTCCCAGGAACCACTTGCCTGGGATAGACACAAGACGGAGGATACGGCACCCAGAGGCACCTTGGCATCCCAAGCAGAGCCGCGTCAGCTGCCCAGGGCCCTCCCCAGAAGGACCCAGAGGCCTGAGTGCCCCAGATGGGACCGAGGGCAGGAGGGCAGGGCAGGGCACCTGTGGGAACAGGTGGGGAGGAAGTCTGGGACCGGGAACGCAGGCCTGAGGGGGGCACATGTGGGAACTGCTGCTGCTTCCCACGGGCTGGAAGACTCCAGCCCCACAGGACCCACTCCTCTCCGCCCGTCCCTCTCCACCCCCCTCCATCTTCTCCCGCCCCCCTTCCTTGGCCTGAGGGAGGTGTGGGCGAGGGTGGGAGGGCAGCCACTGGGGTGGGTTCCCCTTTCAGGCCTGGGGCTCACCCTCCCTCCCCATGCTGCCCCGAGAGTCAGGGGGAAAGAGTCAGAGAACGCAAAGGGGCTCCAGGTTTTCCGTGCCTTCCAGAGGCCACCCCCCCAAAGGCCTTTGGGCCCCGCCCCACCTGTCTGGCCTGCTCTTCTCCCGCCCTGCCCTGCAGGCAGGCTGCTGTCTAGATCCTCATGCACTTGCACCTGCTCCTCAATGCTTCTGAGGGGGTTCTGCTGGCAGCTGTGGCCGGGCTTCCCCAGAGGGGACACTTCCCTGGACAGCGGCCGTCTTGCCCCCGTCAGACTGGGGGCTCTCCGGGTGGGGGCGGTGTCCCCCTTACAATCCCAGGGATGCTCTGAACACCATGTCTCCCCCTCCACCTCACGCAGCAGGAAGCGGGGTCTCCTGGCTCCTGAGGCTGACCACGGTCCCACCACACCGTGACCCACATGGACGGACGAGCAGTGAGACAGGAAGAGCTAGGCGGGGAGGGGGTCCTGAGGATGAGGTGGGGAGGGGGGGATCAGAAACGGAGGAGAGAAGCACCCGGACAGGGAACACCATAGGGTGGAGGGTAGCACTCAGGCAAGTGGAGGCAGAGGGGGCCACAGGCCCCGTGTTTGCGCCTCGGGGGGTCCACACTGGGAAGGAAGTCGTCCATCTGCTCTGAGCACACACAGGATGGGGCAGAGGCACACTGGTGGGAAGGCCCGGGCTCCATGGGGTATTCACCCCACCCCACACCTCCCACCAGCCCGCCAGGCCTGCCTGTTCCCTGGGCCGCCCAGCCTGCTGACCAGGAGCAAGCTCATCTACTAAACAGCATAGCCTCGGGACCTGGGGCCCTGCAGGCTTGTTATTTAAATGTCCGGGGTGATATACTTTCCCCAGCAAGGTTTTATGGGAAAGAACCACGGGCTCAGGCATACATGTTCACGGGCTCAGGCATACATGTTCTCTGTGACCAAGACTCCGCACATCATGGAAAGCACTTAGAAGGCCAAGTCCAAGAGCCTGGGCTCCAGCTGGACTCTGTGTAGCCTTAAGCAAGCCCCTTCTCCTAGCCTCAGGTCCCTCCCTCATCTGCAAAATGTGGCTATTGGGCTTCCATGACAAACTCTTCATGAGGCTGAAATGGGAGAGTATGCGGCCCCAGCCAGCACCATGCCTTGTACAGACGAGGGATTCAGTGACAGGTCAGTGACTCCAGAGCTGGCCAGTGGAGCACCCAGAAGTGAGATGTGACCCTTCCTCCACTGAGCCAGACCAACTAGCAAACCCCAAAGATGTCCACATCCTGAGCCCCAAAATCCATGAATCTGCACCATACGAGGCAAAAGGGACTTTGCAGATGTGACCAAGTTAAGGAACATGGGGTGGGGAGCTTATTCTGGACTATCTGACTGAGCCCACTATAATCACAAGGGGTACTTATAAAAGGGAGGCAGCAGGCCAGAGTCAGAGGAGATGGGCCCATGGAAGCAGAGGGCCAGAGATGCAGCCATGAGCCAGGGCATGCAGGCAGCCACTGGCAGCTGGGGAAGGCAAGGAACAGATTCTGCCCTGGAGCTCCAGGACGTGCGGCCATGCTGACACCTCGGAAGATCCCTTTTGGACCCCTGGCTCCAGAACTGTAAGATAATAAAGGTATGTTGCTTTAAGCCCCTAAGGTTGTAGTAATTTATAACAGCGGCAGTAGGAAACTAATACATTCTAGTACCGATGAGTGCTAGCCCCTTTCACTTGTGTTAGAATTATTTGGAGGTGGGTCTGCTCCACTACAACCCTTAACAGCCAAAAGACAGCTTTCTGTTCATCCCTGGATCCAATACAAGGTCTAACTCAGCACTTTGTACACAGTAGGTACCCACCTGATGCTTGCTGAATGGATGCAGGTAGTAAGAGCCCAGAGTTGGACTTCATTCAGCACCGTGCATTCCATTCATTGTATGGCAGTCACGGGGCTGGGCACTAAGAACTGAGCACTGAGTCAGCGGAGCCCTACCCTTAATGAGCTCAGACTAGTGAGCGAGACACACACACACACACACACAAACAGCCTGTCACAGCACAGTGTTATTTATGTGGTGACAAAGGTGTGTGTGTCCAAGCACCTTGGGAGGAGGAGGAGTGAGCAACTCATTCATGCCAGGCTGCTGGGGACAGTTTCATGGGCAGGGACAGTAAAGCTGGGTTTTGAAGCCAGGGAAGGCAAGGGGAGAATCATCTAGACAGAGGTAGAAACGCACCTGTGGTATGGGGAATATCAGACTAGATGCCATGGTCTTCCCAGGAAGATGCAATAGGAATGCCAAGGGAAACTCTCTCATAAGGAAATGCCTTTGTTTGGCTATTAGTAGACCACCTACTGTATGCCAGTCACTGTCGTAGGCTCTGGGGATACGTGGTGAACACAACAGACAACTGCTCGTATGGAGCAGACATTCTAGTGAGCAAGATAGGCAATAATCAAACCGCAAATGACACATTCTCCAGAGAAACACAAAGGGGATGTGAGTGTATCAGGGGGCCAGGAAGGCCTTTCCCAAGTGAACTTTGGGGGGAAATTGTATTAAGGAAGGAACCAGCCATGTACAGGGAAGGGCCTTCCAGGAGGAGGCAGCAGCTAGTGCAAAGGCCCAGGGGCTGTTCCAAGATACTCCTCATTGGGGACTAGAAAGAAGGTCCAGTGTGGCTGGGGTGGGGTAAGGGAGAAGGTGGCACTGCCTAAGATCAGAAAGGGACAGGGCCAACCCTGCAGGACACTGGTTCCCATCCCTGATGCAGCAGAGCGGGGCCCCAGTGTGCCCATGAAAGATGGGTGGGCTGAGAACCGTGCTCCAGAGCCCAGGAGGCCAGGGTAAGGTACTTCCCTGTCTGGTTTTGTTTGTTTGTTGTTTCTGCAGACTTCCCAGCACTGAATTGCGACTCTCCAAGAAGGGGATAAAGACCCTAGTGTTTCTCAAACAAATTCACCCAGAAAGCTAGGGTTCCTTTGAACCCATTTTGGGAATCTCTGGGCCATATCATAAGACATACAAGTGAGAGAAATGGCTAGAATGGAAGTTGGAAAAGGAAAAGAAAGACTACCACAAAAGGCATTCTAAAAGTCTAGCCTTTATCCTGTAGCAGCAGAGAGTCATCCAAACATTGCTGTGTTGTGTTTTGACTTTTTAATGTGTCCTTTATAGAGATTTTAATTATACAAAAGAGATATTATCGATCTGGTCAATGCCTCAATTTCCCAGTTAATCATACCTCTTGGAGAGCCACCTCATTCTTTTTAATTCATTATGACCATGAGCTATAATTTATTTACTCCTGTCCCTACCAACCACCTCTCCAGTCTCGAGTTTTCCACTTTTACAAACAGCAGTGAAATAAACCTCCCTGAACACACAGCGCAGGGAACATTTACAAATATCTCCTTAGAGGAAAATTTAGCAGTGGGATTGCTAAGTTAAAAGGTAAATCCACTTTTTCCTTTGACAGCTATTGCCAAATTTTCTTCCAGAGTAAAATGAAATGAAATCTGGGGTTCGCTTTAAAATACTGTAACCTCCCCAACAAGGAACAGGGATGGCAGCATGTTGACAGCTACAAAAATGGGATGATGGGTACTAGGAGTCTGTTTTGCTGTTCTCTCTATTTGTGTGCATATTTGAAATTCCCCACAGTGAAAATTTCAAGTCTTCCTGAAACGTGCTACGACATTTCACTCCCACCAACCCTGAGTGAGAGTAACTGTCCCCCCAACAGGCCCACCGCAGTGGGTCTCACTGGGATCTGAAGGCTCATCTGTTGCTATTGTGGTTTTCCAATTTTCATTTTTTTGGTCGTAGAAAAGTCCTCTCTCTTGTTTCAGGTTCCATTTCTTTAATCATGTGAGATGGACCACCAATCCCTGCATGTTTTGGCCCTTCCTTTTCTTTCTTCTTTCTTATGAACCAACTGTTCCTCTTTACCTCCTTTGTGGTGTCAGGTTTCCTTCCTGACTTCTGTGGGCTTTTGGTAAATGTGCGAACAAGGCCTTTGGCACAAGGGTTGCAAATGCATTTTTGGCCATTGGTCTTCCATTGTAGTGTCTTCTTCGAAACAGAGGATTTCCTATAAAACAGGGAAAACATTTGCTAGTTTCTTCCCTTATGCATCTAGGCATTGGGTAGTTTGAGGAAGGGCTCACTCTGTTGGCAATGTGAAAGCTGGATGGGGGCAGGGCCGCCCTGGGAGAGAGATGGCGAGGCTGAGAACGGGACAGGCCTGAGCAGGGGAGGCAGCTGGATGACTGCATTTTCCGTGTTGAACAGGTGGGCAGGTAATGCCACTGACTGGGACAGAGAATTCAGAGGGAAACGCAGGGCTCAGAGGAAAAAACAATTCACTCTCCCACAGCACTTCCCGCCCCGTGTGGTCACACCTGTTGACATGGTATGTCTCCTCCTGTAGACATGGGCCAGGATCCCGCCTCCTTCTTCTCTCTGTCCCCACAAACGGCACGGAAATGCTGCCCAATAACTGTAAAAATGAGTGCATGAGGGAATCCTGAGTTCAAGGTGCCTCTGCCTGCGTGGCGACGTCAGGAGGGGGAAGGAGGCATCACAGCTGAAGGGAATTTCTCCTCCGCAGCCACCCCGGCCCCGCCAAGGAGTTGTGGCTGTCCGCACCTCGTCTGAGCCAGCAGGACCTGGCTGTGTCCTGGCCACCAACCTATAGCAGAAGACAAAGAGCTGCCTCTGGTCTTTGAAGCTCTAGACTCCCAGGGCTCCTGGGGTATGACAGGCCGAGGGGCCCTGCCAGACCTGAGGAAGTCCTCCACCTAGGGTGAGCCAGGGAACCAGGAAGCCAGTAAGGTCACCAGGTAGACTGCAGAGGCCAATCCAGAGACTGGGACCCTCGGGAACTCACCAGAAAGACTGGCTAACCCTGACAGATCACAGCCGCCAGAGGAAGGCCAACGAGGCTGGTCACATTTCTGGGGGTCATTTCTAGCTCACTACCTGGAAACAGGGAATAGAAACACTGACAAGACAGTGCCTGACCAGTGAGCAGCGGAAGGGGAGAAAAGGACGCGGTGGGGCTCCCACCTCATAAGGCGTGTCTTCTCAGGCCCGGGCTTATAGCTTCCAAAGGGGAATCCAGAATGCTTCCATCGGAGTCCAGGCCCCGGTGCTTTCCAAGAACGATCCTAGGAGACAACAGGCTGGAGCCTCAAATCTGTACCAGGAGCGCCCTCTGCTGACCATCCGAGGCTACGCACCTGTGCTCCTCTCCTGCGCCTGAGGCTGAGGGAGAAACCCGGGGACTCCAGACATCCGTCACCTGCGCGCCACACGGGCCCCGGCTCCTCGCTACATTTAGCTCCTGCTCCTCTAGTCCCATGACCTCGTAACAACAAAGGCCCAGGCTGGGCCATTGTATCCATTCCCCTGCCTCTAGGCCATGAAATTTCTCAAAAACTTGGAATTCCTTTCTGAAGCCAGCCTGCGCATTTTGTCATGCCTCTCCTCTCTTCTCCATCTCAAAAAAACAAAACAAAAAAATCCTTCCCTGCCTCTGGCGCAAAGACCTCCTGCGCCTCCCACCATAGGTCGTTCTATTTATTAAACTGCTCACCCCAAAGTCAACATGCCTACCCAGCTTCCCCCAGCCCTGGGCGTGAGGTTCTCTAAGGGAGGGCACTCTCCACTCCGCGGAGACCAGCCCTCCTTGCCGCCGACTCCTGGGGACAGTAGCTGCTGTGGGCTCACTCCTGTTGGGATGCCCCAGAGTACGGCGCCCACTCCATGCGTCTATGTGCAAATCCGTGCGAATGGCCAGTGTACGCATCTGCGTCCAGGCGTGCCACATGTCCTACAGCACATGTGTCCACATCTATGGGGTCGCTGCTGGGTGACCTGGGTGGGGCGCCTCACCCAGGCTGCCGGCTGGCTCTGAGCTGGGGCAGCCACTATTCGTTACCCCCAGAGGGCAGCACTGAGCTTCTTTGGCGCAGCGGGTGGAGTCCGGGCCTCGTTGGCTCCGAAGCACAGAAGGCTCAGCGCCCAGAGTGCCTTCAGATCGACAGTGAAAGCAAGGGAATAACAACCCAAAATCCAGGCTAGTGCTTCGTACACTGTGGGGTGGAGGACCGGCACGGGAAGGGGCACTCCTCAAAGTTTCTAAAATTGGGTGGTGGGTTCACGGGTGTTTGTTGTATCTTAATTCTTAAATTCTACCCACGTTTTGTAGGTATTATTTTAAATCTATTCATTATTACTTTCTTTAAATAAAAAATGGCCTCTGAGCTCTCTCTAGAACAGGGAAAGACCACTCACCCCTCGAAGTAACCTCCTCTGGGGAAAAGTGAGCCTCCCAACTCCCTAAGTCGGCCAGAACTCCTGCGAGGGCTCTGAGCTTCCCTGACTGGTGTCGACCATGGCCCTGAGGAAGGCAGAGCCCAGCGTCTTCTGCCCTGGGTCCCCCACCACCCTCCCTCCTGGATAAACCGCACATCTACGCACAGCTCACATGCACATTCACACACTCTCAGACTCATACACAGCTCACAGGCATTCACACGGAATCACCTGCTCTCAGTGCACGTAGTCACCTGCTCTCAGACTGACATATTCACACACTCCTAGACTCATACACGCTCACACATTTACATGGAGCTCACACACATTCACACTCTCCCATTCACAGTCTCACAAGTAATACACTCAGTCATTCATACTCTTACACATTCATATACACGCGCTCAGATGCCCACATTCACACACTTAGCCACAGCTCTCACTGAATCACACTCGCATACACTCATAGACTCACACATTCATAATCACAGATGTACACACGCATTCATAGACTCATACACCCTCACACACATTACTACACATTGACAGACTCTCATACTCACAATCCACTCACATGCATATTCACACAGACTCACACGCATTCCCACCCACAGGCTTACACACCCTCACATTCACAAGCCCATACACACTCACACTCCCTCATATCCACACTCACACATTCATACAGACTTGCACAGCCTCACTAATACTCATTCACAGACTCACACTTTCACACACAGGCACACTCTTGCACACTTGTGCACCTTCACACAGCCTCTCACTGCCCACACTTTATGCTCTCATTCACACAAAGCAGTCATTGCCACTCACACACTAGCTATTAACCTTGAGTCCTGGTGGGAAGGAACTTGGCCCTCCTTGACCTCAAGACAGATCTCTGGAATCTTCCAGGAGACCCCAACCCCAAGGTTAGAGGGAGGCTTTTCCTCAGACTGGAGGAAGCAAAAGCCGGGCCAGGGTCATGTGACAGCCCTTTGCAAGTCCAAATGCAGAGGAACTCCCCAGATTTCCTGCACCCATTCGTTAGTTCATTCTCTCCCTGACTACACAAGGGAGGGCCTGGGGACATGACAGGGACACAGCAGGCCCTGATCTTGGGAAGCTCAGAGGAGGCCCTTGGGCCTCGCAGGGTGCCTGAGCAGGGCGCTATGGGAGCCTGAGCATATGGGGCTGAGTATGCACCTTACAGGGGCCTCGGCATAGCCTGAGGAGCAGGACAGCTGGGGAAGGGCTCTGAGCAGGGACCTGTACACACAGGGCTCACAGGTGGACGCTGGGCTCCCAGGCAGGCGCGTGGCATGTGCACAGGCCCCCGACTCATAGCCTATGCCCCAGACTCCCAGCCGGCACCCGGAGCTCCCAGCTGGTGAGGACAGAGGCCTCTGCAAGAGATGGGGCAGCAAACAAAGCAGGCCCCCTGCCACTTCCGGGCCTTCAAGGGGTCCTCACCCACCTGGCAAGGAGAGTTGGCTGGGGAGGCAGAGACAAGAGCTGGGCCTGGAGAGGCTGGCAGGGGCCAGTGTGCCTTAATCAACCCAACAGAACAGGAGAGGACAGAGCCGTTCTGCAGAGACCAACAGCAAGTGCCCAGAAACTCCAGGACTGGTGGGTGCGCTCAGCCCCCGTCCCAGGAGTAGAGACAGCCCAGAAACCCAATCCGCTAGTCCAGGGAACCCCCAACAGGTGCAGTCGTGTGCTCCCTTAACTCGTCAGAATGAGTCCCCCATGAGTAACAGAGGGTTGGTCTGTGCAAAGGGTTAGAAACAAATACAGAACACCAAGAACCCAGGAATCTTTAGGAAAACCTGCCAGCTTCTCCCAAAGAGCACCCCCGACCCCCACCCCAGCCAGGCTGCTAGCTCTAGCCCAGCATGGAGTGAGGGGTTTGGGGGTGCACCAATGGAGTGCAGCTGGGGTCTGGAGGCCTGGGAGAACAGAGCCGGGACAGCTCAGGGAAGGTGCTGGGTCCTGGCTCCCCAGCCAAAGCCCATTCCTGGATAAGGGAGGGTGAGGCTGGTTCCCGCCTACACATTCCAGCTGCTGCAGCCACACCCTTCCAGCCTGTTCTCACCAGTTCCCATGATTTCCCAGGCTGCTCTGGGCCTGGCTCTTAGTGCCAACTCCCAGAATCCTTCAGGGCACAGAATGCAACTACAGGGACGCTGATCTAAATGTCCAAAAGCCCACTTCCACTGGGACAACTGCCTCCCCACAACACATACACATGCATGCAGACAGGTGTACACACACACACACACACCACTGAACCGTCCTTAGCCCCAGGACATCAGGACAGAGAGTGGAGCTTTCAAGGGGCCTAGGCCCTTCCCTCTACTGCGAACAGTTCCACCCCCTAGACAAAGTGCTGCCCACTTGCCATAAAGCCTTAGACAGGGGAGGGGGGATGGCAGTCAAAGTCCCTAGAGGGTCCCTGGGAATTGGGTCACCCCAGAATGCCAGCCCTAGGGCTCAGACAGAGGAAGGCTAGGGACAGGAGAACTGAGGGGTCCCTGCCCCAGCCTGACATATGTCCGGCCAGTCTTCCCACCACTGCTCAGTCATGGGCCAGCTGGGGTCCACCCCCCACCCAACCCTCAACTGGGCTGTGTGGATGACTGTGGCTCGGCCTGCTACCCCTCACAGGCTCATCTGTCAGCTTCTCTTCCCATAGCCCTGGTGTCATCCATCCTGACCATCCATGCAAGACAGAATTCCCACACCCAGCCTGGGCCCAGGGCCAGGGCCCATTTTTCCCACCAAGGCCTGGGAAATTATCCCTGCTGCCCTGGGCCCGCCAAAGCACAGCCAGGCCCTGCTGCAGAAGCGTGACAGAGGGTACTGGCCCAGCCCCCAGGCTGAGCTCAAAACTGCTGAGGCCACAGACGGGGGGCGATGGGCAGACAAGGGGATGCCCCTCGGCCATTCACAGGAGGGACTGAAATGCTACCCTACCCTGAAAGTGCGCCAAGGAAGAGGGTGGGCAGTGCATAAGGGCCCCATATCCCAGACTTCAGGTTCCCTCCTGACCCCTGCCAGGCCTGGCCTGACCACAGACGGGCTGGGGAAGCTACACAGCTGGGCTGTGCTGGGCTGGGCTGGGGTTCCCCAGGGGGGAAGGCATGGCCCCAAAGTCCCAAAGCCTCCATCTCAAGGTCACAGTCCATCCACCAAGAACCCAGGGGCCTCATCCTCCTTTTACAGGGAGGAAATGAGGCCCCGTGAGAGAAGGTGAATTATGGGCAGAATTTCACAGTTGAGTGGTGGGAACTGAGTTTGACTGACCCCTGCATGGGTCACTCCCAGCCCCAGTGCCAATGCAGGGAGCCCAGCAGGGGTGTGGAGAAGCAAGGCCTGGGGGCACAGGAAGGGCTCTGAGCAGGGACCTGTACACACAGGGCTCACAGGTGGACGCTGGGCTCCCGGGCAGGCGTGCGGCATGTGCACAGGCCCCTGACTCAGAGCCTCTGCCCCAGACTCCCAGCCGGCACCCAGAGCTCCCAGCTGGTGAGGGCAGAGGCCTCCACAAGAGATGGGGCAGCAAACAAAGCAGGCCCCCTGCTGCTTCCAGGGGGGTGCCCTTGCCCACCCCCAGCTCTCAGAACACCCCTCACTGTTTCCCCAGAATCCACTGAGCAAGGAGCAAAGCCCAAGGCCCACACCACAGACTGTCTTGAGCCTCAGCCTCCAGCTCCCCAAGTGCAGAGGTAAAGAAGGGTGTGCGTAGGGGGTGAACAGCAGGCACCCCAATTTCCCAGGCCAGTGTGGGGGCTGGGGCTCCAGCGGGCTGCCCCCCACAGCCAGCACCCCACCCAGCAAGGAAGTGCGAGGCAAGCAGTTCCCACACCTTGTGCCAGGCAGCTGCCAGACATGTTCCTTACAAGGCCGTGGTGCTGAGCTGGCTCTGGGGCAGGCAGGCGCCTGGGCAGGGCACAGCACACCTGGCTTGGCCAAGCCCAGACGCACCCTCTCCAGAGGAATGTGGACGCCGCCCGGGCTGGCCCTGGGAAAGCTGCCGCCCCGTGCCTCCCGCCAGCCCTGACTCAGCCCGGTGGGCAGGAAAGCTGCAGCCTCATCAGGACCAGGTCTGTCCCACCCCACCCTCCCTGCTGGCCCCCAGGGACTGAAGCAGAGGACAGGCCCTGCAAGAGGAGCCAAGAACCAGGACAGCACCCACCAGGCCTCAGGACTTGGGGGACGGCAGGATCCTGTCAGATTCACCCTCTGCTGCACTGCCCAGGGTCAGCCCCCAGCCGATTCCTCCAAATATCAGGAGAGCTGGGGGCTCAAAACAGTGTTCTGCCCTGTAGCATGGGCCTCGCTGCTTCTCGAAGCCTCAGTTTCCTCATCTGTAGAAGGAGCCCACAATGGCTCCTGCCCACGGCACAGGGCTGGGTGGTGGGAGAAGCTGCTGCGTGCCCTGGAAGCATCCAACAAGCAGCAGCAAGTTCACCCCAGCGCTGGCCAGGCCCCTAACGTGCAGAGGGCCCACCAGCTCTGGGAAGGCGCTCCACTTGGGGAGAAGCAGCAGAGAGCCCCTGGGGCCTGCTTCTCCCTGGTCATCAGCCCCCAGAGGCCTGCTCAGCCCCACACTCCCTACAGGAGCTGAGTGGTCCCATCAGTCTCCTTCTCCATTTCCCAGCATGGCTATGCCACCCTCCCCACTCAGACCAGGAGCTCCCCAGAGGCAGGGGCAGTGCTTCTCCCTCAGTCGGAAGGCTCCCTGGGACCGGGTCTGCCCCTCTCTACCTCCCCACAGTGCCAAGCCCTGGGCCACAGGAACCAAAGGCAGTGAGACCCCTTCCCTCCTCGGTGCCACCCCACTCTGCCAGGCTCTGAACCTCCCTGTTTGCCCACTGGCCAGCCCCCAAATATAACCCTGGAGCTGCTTCACAGTGGCCCCTGCCCAACCCTGGGTGCTGGCAAACCTTCCAGAAGGTTCCCCACCCAGAAGGAGGCCTGCTGCCTCCAGCCTGGATGGAGGGCCCTCTCAGACCCTCCCTCCCTGAGTCCTTCCCCAGCCCTGTGGCCAGACCTTCCTAGGACCTACACTTGTCCCCTGCCATTCAGACCCCCTCTTCCAGGCCCTTCTTCCAGGCCCCACCAAGTCTTTGGGGCTGACAGCAGAGGCTGGGGTTGGGGGCCACACAGACAAAGGTTTCTGGGACAGCAGCCCTGGCTCCCCTGGGCTCAGGAAGGGAGGGGATGGGTCTCTGGACCTATGGGCCCTGCTGCCCCCTGCCCACCTCCCCTCACCCAGGCCAGGCTTCTCCCCACAGCCCAGGTTGGCAGGATAAACAGTCCTAGTGTTGAGTGTTGTGCCTCAGTTACCAGGGAGGGAGGCTGGGGACTGGCTCCCTGCCTTGTTTGGGCCCCAGGCTGAATGCCTGGGTGGGGAGGGAAGGCAGGAGATTTGGGGTGTGGAGAGCTTACTTCCCTCTCCCAGCACCTGCGGCAGGGAGGGCCCGCTGGGACTCGCAGCTTGCTGGGCAGATTCAGACTTGCGGCCGCCCTACCTTTCTGCTGGCTCTGGGATGCACCAGGCCGGGTGGAGCGTACTGAGGGCAGGGCGCACTCCCCTGCAGCTCAGACGGGGATTTGGGGGCTATGGCCCCAGTGTCCCAGGGTGCTACAACATCCCAACCCCCAGAACAGACCAACCACAGCCTGGCTCAGGCCACTGAGGAGAGGTCCCAGGACACCAGGTCAAGTCACTGCCCCTCTCTGGACCTCAGTTTCCCCATCTATAAAGTGTCAGGAGCTGGCCTGGTCCCTGAAGGGCCTCTGTAGTTTTCTTCTTCCCATCGCTGAGAGGTGGGGGAGTTGGACTGTGGGCAGGGAGTTGTGGCCAGCTGGGAGCCCCTTGCCATAAGGCGCCAAGTCTCCACAGGCCCGCTGCCCTGCCAGAGACTGGCCCCATGAGTACCATCAGGCGGTGGAGTGCAGGAGCCCAGGAATGGTGTTGGCAGGGAGAACTACCCTTTCTCCCTCTCCCAGCAAGGCTGAGACAACAGCCTATTTGACCCCTGGTGACTTCTCAGGGTAGCTATCGCAGCCTTAGCCCCCTGCCTCTCAGACAAGAGCCAGCCTTCATTTACTAGATCTTTCACTGAGGGCAGACTGTGTGCCTGGCTCTCTGCTGGAGGCCAGGGAGGCAGGAATGAGGCCCCCTCCCAGTGTCAGGACTCAGCCTGGTGCAGGAGGTCACAGGCAACACTGAACAGGCCCCATGAAGACAGGCAGGGGAGGCTTGAGTGAGGTGGGGGCGCATGGAGAAGCTGAGTCTCAGGGGGCGGGGGGCAGGGCAGAAGGGGAGAGGGTTTAAGCATGTGTACACCAATAACATGAAGAGGTGAGCATTTGGGGTGGGTCTGCAGGTGAGGCCAAGAGACCAGGAGATGGGCCAGGATCTGTCTTTAAGGCCTTGTGGCCAGGCTGAGACACTGGGAACGGGGGTCATCACAGCAGCAGGGGAAGGACCTGGCCGCGGGCCGGAGGGGCCCATCTGCCTACAGGCAGACACTGTCTCTACCCCCTAACCCCAGCAAATCCCAAGACCTAGGCCTCAGCTTTGGATAAACACATGAGCTAATGCCAGTCCAATCCAGACCTGCCTCCCAAAGCCTCCAGCTGGCAAAACAAAAGAGAAAAGAGGCCTGCCTATACAAGTGCACCAGCCACTGGGCTGCTGGGCGGGGGCAGGCACGGGGGCTGACCTAGATGGGAGCAGAGGGTCCTGGGCAGGGCTGGCCCCCAGGGGGAAGGAAGGCCCCTTCCGGAGCAGCTGCCCTTGTTTGCTGCCTGCAAATGTGGGAACCCTCCAATGGCCAGATCTCATTCCGCACTCAGGAAGCTGGGACACTGGATTTGAGAGAGAAGCCTCCCAATCTTTAAGAATTAGAATGGGTTCCAAAATAGCACCCTGTGCAGGTGAAACAGAACATGCAAGAGAGCCTTGGAGTTTGGGAGCCAAGAGGGTAATCAAACCCAATGGCCCCTGACGAAAGAGTAAACTGAGGCCCAGCAGGGAACAGACCTGCCAACAGGATCAAGTCCAGCCCCCTGACTCTCCTGCGCTCCCCACAGCAACCCACCCCCTCCCAGGGGACTCCCAGAACGGGAGCACAGACTGTTCCCACCCCCTCTCCAGCCTGGCTAAAGGGGCCAGGCTGCGTGGCCCCACATTGACCACCCCACTCCCCAGCAGGCCTTTGCTCGCCACACTTCTGGTCCCGAGGCTTCCCACACCCTCACAGCAGCCAGAATTGCTCTCCCACTCTACAGAAAAGGGTACTGAGGCCAGAGAGGTCAGGCCATTGTCCACAGTCATTCTTTGACACATTCCAGACAGTCACAAGAGGGCTTTGTGCCAGCTTGCCAGTCCCTGTAACTAGGGTGGCAGGGAGGGCTGGGACGAGTCAGGCACAGGGCTGGGAGAGTTCAGAGTGGCCCGAGCACATGACCAACTCCAGAGAAGCCAGGCCTCAGCTCCCCATTCCTGAGTCTGAAGTGGGGGCCCTGCAGCCTCAGGGTCAGGGGTGAAAGCACACAGCAAGGGGTGGTGCCTCCCGAGCAAGAGGGAACAGCAGTGAGAGGCCATGGTGTGGAGGAGTCCGAATGTGCATGGCGCCCCCACACCCACCATCCCTAGGAACCCCTGAGTCCCACCTCTCTCTCCTCTGGCACCTTCTGCTGTCCCATTCCTCAGGGACTCTTCGGCCACCCCAGAAGTGTTAAGGAGTCACCCATGGTGTCAGCTCTGTGCCAGTCCACGGTAGGGGACACGGGATGAACAGACTATGGGACTGCCCTCAGG